GAAAGGAAGGAGAGGGAGAGAGAAGAGGAAGAGGGAGGAGGAGAGAAGAGGAAGAGGGAGGAGAGGAGAGAGAGAGGAAGGAGGAGGAAGAGAGAAGAGGAGGGAGGGAGGAGAGAGAGAGGGAAGGAGGGAAGAGAGAGAAGAGGGAGAGGGAGGGAGAAGAGAAGAGAGAGGGAAGGAGGGAAGAGAGAAAGAGGAGGAAGAGGGAGGAGAGAGAGAGGGAGGGAAGGAGGAAGAGAGAGAGAGGAGGAGAGAGGAGGAGGAAGAAGAGGGAAGGAGAGAAGAAGAGAGAGAAGAGGAGGGAGGAGAGAAGAGGGAAGAGGAAGAGAGGAAGAGGAGGGAGGGAGGAGAGAGAAGAGGAGAGAAGGAGGGAAGAGAGAGAAGAAGGAGAAGAGAGAGAGGAGGAGAGGGAGGAGGGAGGAGAGAGAAAGGGAAGGAGGGAAGAGAGAGAAGAGGGAGGAGGGAGGAAAAGAGAGAAGAGGGATGGAGGGAGGAGGAGAGAGAGGAGGAGGGAGAGAGAGAAAGAGGAGAAGGAGGGAGGGAGAGAAGAGGGAGGGAGAGGAGAGAAAGAGGGAAGGAGGGAGGAGAGAGAAGAGAGGAGGAGGGAGAGAAAGGAGGAGGGAGAGAGAGAAGAGGAAGGAGGAGGGAGGAGAGAGAGAGAGGAAGGAGGAGGAAGAGAAGAGGAGGAGAAGGGAGGAGAGAGAAGAGGGGGAGGGAGGAGAGAGTAAGGGAGAGAGGGAGGAGAGGAGAAGAGAGAGGAGGGAGGAGAGAGAAGAGGAGAAGAGGGAGGAGAGAGAGAGAGGGAGGAGGGAGAGGAAGAGAAGGAGGAGAAGGAGAGAGAAGAGGGAGGGAGGGAGGAGAGAGCAGAGAGGGAGGGAGGGAGGGAGGAGAGAAGAAGAGGAGGAGGAGAGGAGAGAGAAGAGGAAAAGGAGGGAGGAGAGAGAGGAGGGAGCGGAGGAGAGAAAAGAGGGAGGGAGGAAGGAGAGAAGAGAGAGAGGGAGGAGGGAGGAGAGAGAAGAGAGAAGAGGGAAGAGGGAGGAGAGAAAAGAGGAGAGGAGAAGAGAGAGAGAGGGAAGAGGGAGGGAGGAGGAGGAGGAGAGAGAAAGAGGGAAGGAGAGGGAGAGAGAAGAGAAGAGGGAAGGAGGGAGGAGAAGAAGAGGGAGGGAGGAGAGGAGGAGAGAGAGAGAGAGAGAGAGAGAGGGAGGAGGAGAGAGAAGAGGGAAGGAGGAGGGAGAGAGAAGAGGGAGGGAGGAGAGAGAGAGAGAAGAGGAAGGAGGAGGGAGGGAGAGAGAGCGAGGAGAGAGAGAGAGGAGGGAGGGAGAGAGAAGAGGGAGGGAGGAGAGAGAGAGGAGGGAGGGAGGGAGGGAGAAGAGAGAAGAGGGAGGGAAGGAGGGAAGAGAGAGAAGAAGGAGAGAGGGAGGAGAGAGAAGAGGAGAGAGGGAGGAGAGAGAAGGAGGAGGGAGGGAGGAGAGAGAAGAGAGAAAGGAGGGAGAGAGAGAGAGAGGAAGGAGGGGAGAGAAGAGAGGGGAGGAGAGAGGAAGAGGGAGGAGGAGGAGGGAGGAGGAGAGAGAAGGAAGAGGAGGAGAGGAGAAGAGGAGGGAAGGAGGGAGGAGGAGAAGAACAGAGGGAGGGAGGGAGGAGAGAGAAGAGGGAGGGAGGGAGGAGAGAGAGAGGGAGGGAGAGGAGGAGGAAGAGGGAAGAGGGAGGAGAGGAAGAGGAGGAGGAGAGAGAGGAGGGAGGGAACTTACTTCAATCACCCCATATTTCTGTGTCTCAATGGTAATCATTGCCAGTGAGTCCAAGTAAAATGCAATCTTGTAGTCTGGATGCGAAGACACTCCGAGGAGCTTCATCTTCTCCTCAATCCACTTCATACTCGTAGCAGACCAAATCACAATGTCATAATTCTGTATGAAAAAAAAAAGAATAGTGAAAAAAAAGGATTTTTAAATTTGGAGACATTCCACTGCTATCAGGATGCATAGGGTATATGTATGGGTTATGCTAGAGTTTGGGTTATGGGGATGAATCATAAGATATATCTTATATACTCATAAAGTCACGTTTATTCCTTTACACACGCGCAAGCAATCAACCTATTAAAACACAATACTACACACACACACACACACAGTAACAAATAACCTAAACAACAACACTTCCTTACAAACCCAAGCAGAAACCCTCATACATCCCCTCCCGTCTCAAATCATAAATATGATTAAGGAAAAAATAAATATATAATCACGTAGGCATGCTTTTCTGGCTCTAGTAGGTGCCTGATTGCGTCCCATCAAACCTTAGATCTTTTCCACACAACATGCTAATACAGAGTTATCTCCTTGTATGTCATTATCTTTTTACTTTCTATATGTCTGCATACACATTTTGCTGCTTTATATGATAAAAAAAAAAAAAATGTTTTAGATGTGTTTTGCTTACATATTCATAGTAATCTCATTCATTTCTGTTAACCCTTGAGGGGTAATTGTGTTAACTTATTCAAATATGTTCTATTTTGACGTTTATTTGAGATATGGGAATTAATAATACATCTCCCAGTGTATAAAACTAAGCATGTATGTGTATGCAAACAAACACTCACACACACCCATACACCTTACATAGACAGACGTAGATCAGACAGACAGACAGACAGACAGACAGACAGACAGACAGACAGACAGACAGACAGACAGACAGACAGACAGACAGACAGACAGACAGACAGACAGACAGACAGACAGACAGACACACACACACACACACACACACACACACACATACAGAGCCTTTACCTTGTAAGCAGATGTAAGGAACTCGTGCAAGAAGGGCCTCATAAGCTCTGCCCCAGTCTCTGCCGTCGAACGGTGATCGAACAGTGTATAATCTATGTCGAGCACAAGGAGCTTCTTGCCTGGTCGCATTTCATTGAGCATTTTCACCTCATAGTCCTTGACTCTTCTTTCCACCTAAGGGGGGGGAGGGGAGTTATCAATAAAAGTTTATCGGACAATAAATAAACTACTGGCAACTTATAATGGCTCTTAGCCTCAAAAGATGAATTACATGCTTAAAAACTATTAAATTAACTGAGAAATTTACAGAATTCGATACAAACTATTCCATTAGATAGATTAAGGGGAGATGTTATACTTAAGGTAAAAAAATCATTTGACTATTTCAAACACAAGCTCAAAATCTAAAAATCATCCCTATGTAACATCTTTCCAGTCACGTAATATTGTAGGAAAAGGAAAAAGGATCGAAAGACCAGAAGGGGGAAGGGGGTATTGTGGAGCCTTTACATATGTATAATAAAGGTGGTTTTTATCTGAAATCTTCCTTTATCAATGAGTAAAGTTTTACTCACTACTAGAAAAAAAACAGTTTAGGAAACGAGGTCTGAGCTTGCCACATTTTGTGACAAGCTGGCGTAGCACCTGCCTCTGTTTCATTTTTGCGATATATTTACCATATGTTCATAATTCATTCTCGATATCTTCCATGAGAGATAAAAGAAATAAAAGGAACAAATGCTAAGAAGAGAATAAATGCTCTAAACTGAAAGGAAAAGGAAAATACAGGAAACAAGTGGTGAAGGTCTCACTCCTTCACCTTCTTCCCTTCCCTCTACTTCCCCGACTCTCTCCACCTCGCTTGTTTTGTTTGTTTTTTTGCAAGGATATTGCAAAAAGTTATGAACAGATTTTGATGAGATTTTTACCAGAGGTGTGTCTTAGCCTAACATATATACCATTACATTTTGGTGGTGATCTGGATCATGATTTGGATCCAGGAATTCTTTTCTTTTACTCAAAAAATTATGGAAAGATTTTCATGAAATTTTTGCCAGAGGTGTGTCTTAGCCTTACTTATATTCCCTTAAATTTTAGTGGTGATCCAAATCATCTGGCAAATAAAAAAAAATTGCAGAAGGATGAAACTTATGAAATATGATCCAAACATAGACAAAATAAAATACTCTATATGAACGGAATATCATTCTTACTGAGTTGCATACAAAAATTCTTTGTTATTGTTTTTTAACACTACCCAGACTTTGTTTAATACTATGAAAAAATAAAATTTGGTCTCATAATATGTGAAATTTTGTAAGCTTTCTGAGACCAATTTCATTTCTTAAATCATATCTAACTGTTATGTCACTTGTCAATTTTCTACGGTAAGGTGAAAAGTCATAATATTTTGTTGGACATCAAAAGAGGCGGCTACCACCTTAAAAATAGTGGGTGGGCCTTGAAACTTTCAAGGGAGACTCAGAGGCCCTGAAAATCTTTGGAAATGTAAATAACGCAAAATCCGGAAAGTGGAAGGCAACTTAAACTTGCATCTCCTTTTCGAAGAATATTTCTTTCACATCAGGCTATAATCCAAGTGCCTTACCTTCTGTAGGTACTCAGAGCGGTTCTCAATTGCTACCTCTTCCTCTTCTATGTCCAGGTCGTTAATTACTGGCGGAAGATCGTCTGGAATCCGCTGTGCTTCCTCAACACTCGCTTCTAGGGAACCCATCATCATTATCTGACAAGGATAAGTGTGGAAGATGAACTGAAGGGAACCAGGAGGTTGACATGCACTAATCATGATAATTGTAATACAGAACACTCAAAAAGCTTTCCTATAGAATTTTTTGTTTCTTTTCCTCCTTTTCCTCTTCCTCTTTACTATTTCTTCATGCAATCATTTTAATTTCTGGTTGTTCGGAGAACTTTCAACGGTGGAATTATGCTGTTAGCTCACTGGATTTCTAAGTCATTTGAGGCTAGTATATTAAGACACCCAACAGCCTCAAATGAGAGAAATACACAGTTTATCTATCAAAACTCAAGGAAAGAAAATGTATCCCATAAAACATAAAATATTACAATGATAAATCAATGAACTTACAGAAACCACAAAGTATTGACTCTCTATTGTATTGTGAATGCGCTAAGTCTGATTTTTGCTGAAGAAGAGAAAGAAACAGAAAGTGAGAGAGCCACAGATAACATCAAGATAAATAAATAGGCTTTGAAAAAGAGTAAGCCATAGAAATTAGGAAAAAAAAAAAACAGCCACATTATCCTAACACTGTCAACTATCAAATACCACTGGTATTATTACCTACACTGGTTTACTAGTAAGTTTGAAAGTAATACTAAATAATAATAGAGAATAATAAATAATGAAAAACTAATAAATATTAAAAAGTCTAGCTACCTGTATGCATGTGTGTGTGAGAGAGAGTGCAAGTGAGAATAAGAGTGTGATCATGCATGCATGTGCATTTGTGTGCATACAAGCATGAGCATGTTTATATGTATATGCGCTTGTCTGTATGTGTGCAATTGTGTCTACATGTGTATGTATGTTTGTTTTTTTGTTTGTTTGCGTGTGTGTGTGTGTGTGGGGGGGGGGGTAAGTAATGAATGTATGGATCTTTCATTTACCATTTATGTCTATAAAATATCCTATATATGTCATCTATTGATTATTCCATATCACACTATACATACATTTCTAATTACCATTATCAAACTGAGTATTCAAAAACCTGACAAATCACTAGTCTTTCTCCACACTGTGATCAAGCCATTAAAATTCCTTATAACAAATATCAACTGATCCCTCCCTGAAGACCCCATTGCTTATACCTGTGTTTTTCCTCTCCCTGTCACTAGTTTCAGCACCTGATTCTGGCACTCACTTTGGTTCCTGGTCGAAGGCTGATTGCTGACATTTTGGTGCTGTCATCTGGGGCCTTCCCTGAAAGGACAAGGAGCATGGTGACAATGGTGACAGAGAAGAGACGGTGATCACTGTGATAATGATGATGGTGGTGGTGAAGATGGTGATAACAATAATACATAACAATGATGACAGGTTCATTTTTAGGATAACTATTATCAAACTATTCGCTACAGTGTCACTAAAGAGCTGGTAGATCCTGGAGATGGGCTAGTCATTGAGCTGCACCATTTTGCATGTGCCAGGCTGGCTACTTGCTGTCATGTCCTGTTTTGGCCATTTCTCCATCTCTTTGTCTTTCAGTACCAACATCAGGACAGAGTTTAATGTTTTGGATATGCTTCTGCCAGTCAGCTGATCTCCTCACTGCAACATTTGGTCAGCTATGAACTCGTGGTGAAAAACAAACATGGGACTGAAGGAAGCTATGGCCTCACTATGTGCTCTACACATATATGCTTGATATTTTCCTTATCATGAAATCATACAATCCACTGCCTGGGTTCGCTAGAATATATTTGAATTCCAATGCCTGTAACCCAAAGTCACCAGGAAACTGTAGTATCTATTCACTGTAGGGTTGTTCTGGGAAATGTCTTCCACACAGATGGCTCCACAAGTGATTAGCTGCATATACTACTATCACAGCTTCACTCTTTATTCTTAAGAGTTACACACAAATAGAATTGAACATGATACGAGACTAGTCAGTGCTGGGTGGTACCTGCAGCCGTCCACGTTAGAAAGGAGGTGGTCCGGGCGGCAGTAATGTAAGGAAGCAGGATCACTGTCTGATTGTATGAAGTGTGTCTGAGTGTTTCTTTAGGTCCAGCTAGGGTCACTCTTACATCCAACTTCATAGGCAGAGCAATGGGAGCTTTGCATGGGGAGTATACTAAGAATCACCCATGCGAGATGACACTTGTGGCTTCACCCAGACAACGTCACCCACATGGCGTGGAACTGCATGGGGCTTGAATGATGCAAAATGCTATGCAATATATTATATATACATATATATATACATATAAATACATATACTTATACATATATATATATATATATATATATATATATATATATATATATATATATATATATATATATATATATATATATATATATGTGTAGTATATATGTATGTATAAATATACACACATACACAAATATATAAAATATATATATGTGTATGTGTATGTGTGTGTGTGTGTGTGTGTGTGTGTGTGTGTGTGTGTGTGTGTGTGTGTGTGTGTGTGTGTGTGTGTGTGTGTGTGTGTGTATACATAAATATATATATATATTATATATATATATATATATATATTATATATATATAATATATATATGTATGTATACACACACACACACACACACACACACACACACACACACACACACACACACACACACACACACACACACACACACACACACACACACACACACAAAGATATATCTTATATTACATATATGTAATATATACTTATTTCATATATAGTATATATCACATCAACATTATAGATACCACATAAACTATAAAAGTCATATATATACATATTATACATATTCTAAATGTATCATACAAATCATAGAGCTACAACAATTTCTATGATATATGATTTATATCATATATATATATTCATATTCATATATATTATATATAATATAATATATATATATATATATATATATATATATATATATATATATATACCATATATAAATCATATAAATGATATATATGTCATA